TATATATATATAAAAGTATCCATTTGGATTAATAAATAGATAATTAAACAAATATATAAATGAACTAAATAAATTTTTAATTCTAATGTAATAAAAAAAAATAGCTTTTGCCCGATTAAAGTTATATCAACTAGAATTCAAAATTATTTACTGACCATAAGTTTCTCAAATGACCATAATTAATTATAAAAATTTAATAACTATTTTTCGTATATTAAAAAGAAAAATTTTTTATTAATTAATACATAGATTATAAAATTGGCACTACTTTTTCATCTCCAAAAACAATAAAACTAACTAATAGCAAATTATTTACAGCACCAAATCTTCCATTTCTTTTTCTTTCAAATTACTATTTTAAATTAAATTTCGGAAATGTTTTCGACATTTGGAGCTTTAAGAAAATGTAGCTTATTTACTTCATCAGAATAACTGAATTATGTAACGAAATGGCTAAAGTAAATTTAAATATTTTTAGATGCAAACTTCTCAATTTTTCTTGAATTTATTTGCTAGCAAAATAATTCAATGATTAGTATGAAGAAAACAAATTGGTGCAGTAAGTTTATATTTTATAGTAACAGTTGAAATAATAATTAAAATTTATTTTGAACAAAAATATTGTATATTTCAAAATATTTAAACTTACTGCATGTAAGTATTTAAAATTATTTACTTTTCAATCATTTGTAAACTGCATAAAAGTAGAAAAATATTAATTAAAGTTTACTATTTACTGTTCTTTCAAAAATATTCATTTCTAGTTTTTTTTTAGATTTTTAAAAACAATATGATTTAGATTCAAATATTAATCACTTTTTTTTGATCAAAATGAAAAAATATGAAGAAAAAATTGTGCATAAAATCATCTATGACCAAACTTTTAAAACAGGTAATTAAAAGCATTTACTTATATATAAAAGCCTTTAAGGCGTATTTAAAAGCAAAAAAAAATAGCTCTCAAAGCAATATTAATCAAAAGCAATCATTTTTTAACATATAAAAACTATAAAAATTAGGATTCTTTACTTATTTAGCAATTAATTTTTAAGATTTAAATCAGCAAATTTTATTTTGAATTTTTGTTTTGATTGCTTTATTTATTTATTATACAGTGTGATTACTACTCTGAAGTTAAAAAAATACCAAACTTACTCTTCGTAATCAGCGTGAGTAACAAGTGATGAAAGTGAAAATGAACGTTGACTACCATTCTTTTGTCCTAAAATTTAATCGTGCTCACAAGTGATAAATCTTTGCCAAAATGAACAAAATAAATGACTATTCCACGATAATTATTTAAATAATCTTTGCTAAAAATTCCTCAGCAAAAACAAAATTCATTTCTCACAGACAGACTAAAAAAAGAAACCAAAAGTTATTTGTAATAATTTTGCTGTAATCAATTGCAAGTATAATTTTCAAATTATTCAAATTCTAATTCTGATATATGGCACGATTTTTATTGCTTACAACATTACTTATTACACGTGTTTGAATTTTAATATTTAAAATACGTATTCATACTTAATTACTTTTTAATAAATACTACTTATGAAAATGTTACTTGCTATATGTTTGTCTAAATAATCATTCTGCTCACAAATGTAATCTTCTTAAAAAGTATTATACATGAAATGGCACTAATTGAACATTACATGATTAAAAAATAGACCAAAAAAAAACTTTCTTTAATTATTATCAAAAATTTTCATATATACACATTACTCAAAAAATAATTGTTAGTTTGAAAATAATTCAATAATTATTTTTTTATTTATTTTAATTAGTGAAATAATAAAAAAAATTTTCAACGTTGATAACAAAGTTTCATGTTAGATCGTTAAAATAAATTATAATAGCTCATTAATACCTTAATAAAAAATTAGAATAAAGATAACATTTTGCATACGGAAATTAGACAATTAGACTTTATAAAAAGACTAAAAATTTAATTACAGCAAAATGCTGAAATGGTAAACTATTAGACGTTAAAAGTATTACAGTTTTAATGGAAAAGACAGTTTTGCTGAAAAAAGTTTGAAGATTAAAATTTTCCAATTCTCAACACTAAGTAATGCAAGCTTAATTTTTATTTTAAATAAATGTTTAATTATAAAATAAAACTAAAACATTTCATAGTATTACTTATCTCCAATTTATCACAAAATAATTTATGTAATGTTATTTCAAATTTTTAACTTTATGAAAAAAAAATAACGACAGCGAACTTTTTTGGATGACTGAACTGATTGGATTTATAAAATAAGCAGTTTTTTTTTCCGATTTTATCAAATTTCGAAAAATGCACAACATTAGATTACTATTTTGTCGAGAAAAGTAAATTGATTTTCCCTTTTTTTTATTAATCTAAACTAAAAAATAAAAAGTTGAAATTATATAAAGCCTTACTAAAGCATAAACAACACATGATACCATTAATGCAAGTTTCAAAGATGTACTGAACAATTTGTATATATTGAAATAAACAAAAATTCAAAAAACAAATTTTATTATCAAATTTTTATCAAATAAACTTTTGAAAAAATTTTTGCTTCTATTTGATAACAAATAAAATATGAAATAATTAATTTAAAAAATCTTACAAAGTTTTTAAAAATTTATTTTGCTTTAAACATTAAAAATATATTTATTTTAACGCTGATGAAATGGAGTGTCATAAAATCATAAAATCGAAAAGTAAAAAAATTAAAAAATAGAAGATTAAAAGATTTAAAAGATTTATTAGAGTTGGAAAACTTATCAAAAAACTTAATTTCAAGTTTAATTATGAATTGTTGTTAATGAAACAAAAAAGAAATCAAAAATATTACTCACTTGATTTGCCTGGAAGATAATGATCAAGCATTAGTAAAGACAAATTATCATTATCGTCTTCATCACTTGAATAAACGAGACTGGATGAATCCAATTCTGCATCATAATCTAGTCCTATTTTATAATTCTGATAAGTAACTCGTTCAGTTGATGGACTTTTTGCGCATTTTTCTGCTTCATACATATCATCATCTTGCGATCTCGTACTTAAATAATAGTGATTTTTACCTATTCAAATGACACTTATGTTAATCATAATAGTGATAATAACAAAAACTGACTATTAGTTTAAGTTTATATAAATATATTATGCCAATTATAATAATTTTTATTCATGGCAGGTAAGAAATGTATGGAATTACTGTTTATCAATTGTTTTACCTGATCAATGCTTTTCAATTTTTTAACGACAGTTTATAATTTGCTACCAATCATTAATTCCTCATAATTATTATTATATTTCAGTAAATTTACGTCAAAATAAGTATTTTTTTAAAGAAAATTAAATTGCCAAAAAATTGTATAACAAAAATATCTATATTAATCATCAGTATTTTTTTGAAACTTTCATAATTGTCTATATTTTTTTTCAAAAATTGCATATAGTAATAAAAAATTTTATATTATCAGTTAACAATCAGCAAAAAAAATCCTTATCAATAGCTTCTTTAAAACTATCATGTCATTACTTTTTTTCTAAAAAGAAGTCTGTCATTACTAATATTTTTTGCTTAAAAAATATTAATAATCACAAACTTTTTTTGCATAAAAAATATTAATAATGACGGATTTTTTATTAAATTCCATAAATTAAGTTTAATGAAAAATTTTTGATAAATTTTATTGCAAAATCACAAAACAAAATCATAATACACATAATAATTTTATTTGATTTAAAAGTTAAATAATATTAATCAATAACTTACTTTTCATTCAAAACATGCGATCTTTCCAATTTTTTGCGCATATCTAATGGAACATAAAAGTTTTGACCAACTACTAAACCATTGGTCAGTTTTAATTTTTGTTTTTTTGAATTATTCATATTTCGTTGTAAACACTGCTGATATTGTGAGCAGTTACTTGCCAAATATTCTTTACCACTCATATTATTTTGCTCTGTAAAATCAAAATTTTTACTTATGTTTTTGCATACATTTTTATTTTTATGAATAATAACGATAATCTTTTTTTAAATTATAAATAAGTTATGTAATTAATAAGTAATAAAATTGGATGTAATTAATTAAAAAAATTAACCATCAAATGGATTGTAATTTCGATGTAATTTTACTGCATATTTGACATATTCATTTTCAACAATATATTCTGATGCTTCACAGCTACTACTTTGTACTGATTTTGTTGGTGTATTATTACCAGCTACATTTTCGCAATTATTATCCTAAAAATTATCCTAAAATTAAAATCTATTTTTATACTTTTATCAAAATTTTCAATACATTTTGTAATTCTCACTATTATATTGCAAAATGTTGTAAAAATTATTTATTTCAAAAAAGTGAGGAGCACTCAAGCATTTGAAAATTACTTTGAATACTTTTAAAACATCATTTAGCTTATTTGTGTACAAAAAACGAGTGTGATGGCATACTGTAAGATATAGAAAAAACTGAATAATTGGTTTTTCAACTTTAAAAAATTTAATTTAAAATATGCATCGAATTTTCAAAACTTTAGTTTAATTTTATTTTTTGCTCATAAAAATGATGCATAAATGGTAAAGTAAGTGAATAAGTTATGCGACAAGACTGTATGGATACGGTATACGGTATTGAATCAACAAATTTTATGTATTATTAGTTAGCACAATTTTGTGAAATAATAAAGAATGAATTTAGTAATTTTTTAACCTTATCAATTACGAACGATTCTTCGGTAATAGGCATGAAGTTACCAAAAGTTTCACCAACGTCTTCACCTTCAATATTATTAATGGACATTATTTGTTGATGTGTTGATATTGCTCGTCGACAAATTTCATGATAAATCCGAAGATTTAATCCCAGTTGAGGGCATGATACTAGAATAACATATAATTTATGCCACATAAAAAAGAGCTCTTTTAAAAAAAATTATTACAGCTAAAAATTTTCTAAAAAAGAACATTAATTAAACATTAATTGACGCATCGAAATTTTATAATTGGATTAATTTTCTGTTAAAATAATTAAATTAAAAGACGATTTTTATTTTTTTAAATGTTGTAAAATGCCTGTACAAATTACTCATGAGACGGATTTCAAAGTCTATTTTGGAAAAAATTAAATTCTATTTTTATACTTTTATCAAAATTTTCAACATTTGTAATTTTCACTATTATATTGCAAAATGCTGTAAAAACTATTTATTTCATAAATTTTAGAAAGCTAAAAAATTTTGTAATAACAATTGAAAGATTAAAAAATTAAAACAAATATTTGCAAGAATTACATTTATTGAGAGTTTTGTCATTATTGATCATTTAGAAGTAGAAAGTATATTCATTTTTGTATTTGTTATTATTATTCAAGTAAATATTGTATGACTAGTCAAGTAAGCTTACAACTTCTTGCTAAATTAGAATTATTGTGTTGAGCGATTTGTTTTCTTGTTTCGATGTAGCTTTCATTTGCTTGTTCAACTACAACTACACTTTTAATTTCTCCTTGGCACTGATCATCTACAATAAAATTCTAACTGATAAGACTGTATAAGTTACAAAACTCTCAAAAATTTTTGACAAAAATACTATATAATTTCAGAAAATTTAAAAAATTTCATTTTTTTTTTGTATTATATTATTATAACAGAAAATTTTTTCAATGACCTTTTAAGCTATAAACTAATTTGAGCAGAATTAAAAAACATAAAATTGAAATTTAAGAATAATTAAAAATACTTCAAGATACACTAATAAGGTTTAAAATTGATCACAAAAGTAAATTTTCAAAAAATAGCTTATAATGTAGTGCAAATGATAAAAACGAACTGATCTTATCATCTGTATGTTCATCGTCGATACCATATCGCCCTTGACTACCATGACCACTGTCATTTGTTGAAGGAGATTTGAAACGCCGATTTTCTATAATATTACTTATATTCATATGTAAAAAATAGTATTCATAAAAGAATATATTAAAATTTGTTAAAAAATTTATTCAAAATATTTGGTAGTTCTATTATTTTGAACGATTTCTGTCTCTTTTCAGTTAAAATTTTGAAGAAAAAAAATGAAAAAATTCAATTAAACAATCATTTACACTAAATTATTTTAAGATTACTGTAGCTATGAAGACAAAAACGAAAATATTTAATTATAAAATTAACCTTTGGCACTGAATTCAATAGAAGAATAAATAGGTTGCTCAGCAGCATTATTTCGTAGATATTTTAATGAGTTCACTGAAGGTATGCGTTCTTTGATATTTTGATTTTTTTTGAGAGAACGCTTTCCAAAAAATGCAATTGTTCTAAATAAAAATAAATAAACTGAAAGAAAATAAAATTTGCACTGCAATAGTTTTTGCTATGTAGACAAATCTTGCGCAGAATTAGTCAGTACAAAAGATAAATAAATACAAGCAGAAGATTTGTCAGTACAAAAATATAAATACAAGCAGAAGAATTAAAAAAAAAAATAATTATTCAGTGACATACTTATTTTTTAGTTTTGTTATCGATGAAGTTTGTTTCGAACTGTGTGCTTCCAAAGGTGAGTGTAATGAGAGATCACTTGGACGATTTTTATGCAGCGATTGATGATGGCTTACTTGCGTATCATTATCTAACATTTACATATTTCTTTGTTTTATTGTATTTTATGTTTAAAAATTCTTTAATATTTGATATGATATTTTTTTTTTAATAAAATAATTATTATTTTTAGTGTATTTGATTTGAATACTATTATTCATAATGATAGTATTCCTTTTCAAATTGGTAACTTTAATTGAAATATTAATATTTATACTAATAACAATATAGTTATTATTATTATTTTACTAACACTAACTAATACTTAAACGTATGAATTAAAAGATAAATATTATCACTCTGAACAATATGTTACATTTTGGGATATTACTCTCTACACTCATTTATTGCAAATAGTTCCATCCTAATTATTCTTTTATTTATCTATTTCATATACACAATATTACTCGAATAATATATAACTCCTTTATTGACGAACTCGCAAACAATATATATTTAATTTTTTTAAATCAATTTTTTATAATAATACTCAACAATTACTCATGCATATCTTATCACTGCATATTATAGCATTACTAGCATAAAAAGTAATAATATAATCAGTATCAGTACTATTACTACAGTAAAAACTTTCTAATTAAGTATTACAATTTAAAAAAAATAATGAACCTTGCCCTATTTCGCCTCGACATTCTACTCCCATCTCTGCTAATAACCTATTTTGATACCGTAACGTTTGTAACAGTGACATTCTTCTTCGTCGACACAAGTAAGGATTGAAGTTAATAGTAGATGATGGATCTTCATCACTGCATATATCAACTATAATAAAATAATATTTTATTTTATTTTATTTTTCATTTCTCATTTTTGCGCTATAAAAATTATACAAATGGATATTTATATTCCTTTTTCCTCACATAATTTTATTAAATAATCAGTTATTAATATTAAATAAACTATTAAAATGTTTAGTATTTGAAAAACAAGATAGAAATTAATTAAATTACCAGTTGAGTCACGTTGTCCAGCTGAACTCAACCTTTTCCTAATTGGTACATGTTGAATTACTGGCGAGCAGAAGGGTTCTGAAATTGATTAATTAATGAATTATGCAAATTTTAAAGGTTTAGACAGTTATTTGTATATTTGAAGGCATAAATTAATCAGATGAAACTTAAGATCAGTGCTATATCTTTGATAGTTATCAAAAATATTATTGTTTTGATGATTATAAAATGATATAATATGAAATATGATCAAAAATGATTTTATAAAATGCAAAAATTTTACAATTTAAGTTTATTAAGCAGCTTATATCTAAGTGAATACTGTACAGAGGAGTTCATTTAAAAAAAATGATAAGTGTAGTTTTACAAATTACAGTAACTTCAGCCATCACAAATGCTAGAAATCAAGTAGATTAATTGATTTAATTTTAATAACCCTATATTAAGTCTTACCAGTATATGAGGTACATGATGTTTGTGTAATATGTGCTAATTGCCCCCCTGAAAATGGCATCATACTGTGCCGTCGTGATGGTACACTTTTGTTCTTGTTATCAACCAACAACCGATACAGTATGTAACCATTAACCATATTCATCATTTCGTCTTGTCTAATTTTGTTTATCTAACAATACTTTTTACCGATCAGTACAGTACTAGCAAGTATACTTGGAACAAAAACACTATATCAATGACTTTTTCATAAATTTCTATCATTATCTTTTGCAAAAATTAAAAATTAGAATTTAAAAATAACCTCAGTAAATCAATATTGCTAAAGTTGTTACTGAAATGAATATTCTAATTTTTAATCTTAATAATACCCTTTTAAGCAAGATATTATTTTCTACCTTATTTGATCGAAAAATCATTTGTCTTGCAAGTGAAAGAACTGAATTATTTTGACAAATATTTGTTCCGTCGAATCTATTCGAAATTGTTACTTGCATTGTAGCAAAGAAAACTCAAAACAGTAAATATCTTAAATACGTTAAAATAAAAAAAAAGGCACTAAATAATAACTAATTCTAATTTGCAGTAAAACAAACAATTGATTTACAAATCCGATAAAAAGTAATATTTCTTGAAATGAGTAAAACAAAACTTTGACGGAATCAATGACTAAAAATATGCTGAAAAAACGTGTTGAAAAAAAGAAGTACAAAATTTAAAAAGATTCCATAAAACTTATAAAATATTTTGAAAAAAGTAATTTTGCATTTTAAACAAACTTTCTATGATTATTTTTATTTTATTTTTTTGAAAATAATTTTAATATTAGGCAATTATGCATGTTTGCTAAAAAGTTTTAAATTTTAACAAATTTTAAATGCTTTTTCATTCATGAAACACTGAAAAGAAACACTGATAATAATAAAAAATAAAAGAAAAATACAAAAGATTAACTTTTTTTTCAAACTTATAAGTAAGTCTACGATGCTTCCTTCAGTCTTAGTTTGCTTGCAAAAAACTAAGTTTTTATATAAAACGAAATTAATGCGTTTTTCAAAATTGTAGCTCATTTAACAAATCTTCAAGAAGTTTTTTATATATGAAACATTGCTAGCAATGAATTTTAAAACTTTGTTATTTTCATACTAAAAAAAATTTTTTTTTTTGAGTATGAAAATTTTGCATAACAACAATTATTTTTAATTAAATAAAATTAATTAAAATCGATAATTTTTATGCGAAATAAATTTTGGCACTTTTATTTTATGTCGCATTTTCTTGAACTACAAAGTAACATTCTCTAAAATTATTAATTCTTCATACTTAAAACTAACAATTGTTAACTTAACATTGTAATATTTCTTAGTTATTAGTTTATTTAAGATGCTTTGTATTTATAATTAATTGTATTTTGTAACTTATTTAACAAATAAAAAAAAGCTTTTTTTTTTAATTATGTGAAAATTTTATTTTTTAATTTTTTACTATGCAAATAACTTTCCGTGCTAAAATTTTCATTTCTGAATTAATAATTTTAGAAAACGAGTTATAAATAAGTAATTTGGTTAAAAATCAAAGGAAAATCTAGACAAAATTCTACTTTAAAAATTTTTGACTCTTTCTAAGCAAATTATAACCTTTGCCATTTTTCATTGCTCAAACTCAATATTTTCATTCATTCATACATGAAATTGATAAAATAAGGATTAAAAACTGCTGTAATAGTTTCAGATACTTATAATTTTGTATATTGATATTGTTAAGAAAAAGTATTTAAGTAAAAAAATTATTGCATCTAGTATGAATAGATATGTTATTGAACTATTGACCCCAGATATCACTAGAGCAAGAAAGCTAAAAATTATGCAAATATATTTGCATATAATTTCATGCAAAAATTTTGACATTAATTAATTAATAATCTAAGATAACTTTTGTTATCAACGTTATCACTTGTATCACTTTCATGAGAGTCAGAACTTATCACACAACGTGCGATTAACAAGCATTAAAAGAAATGTTACGCATATTTTTTAGCGCTATTGAATTGTTGGTTTGAGTAGTATCTCAAACAACACAATGATAGCATTCTTCGATGAATCTTTGCAGACTACTAAGAACTTATATCTATCTACATCACTTCTTCGATAATATCAATTTAATTGTTTGAAATAATCTGATAATATTGATTTGAAAATTTTGAATTAAAAATAAACATCGTTTAATTAAAAATCAATTGATCAAGAATATTTGCTGAAAATAATGAAAATGAAAATGAAAAAATTTTATTTGACAAAATTAGTGCAAAGGAAATTCAGGCAAATGACTTCTGTCAAAAATTAGCATTGCTCGCTACTACATATTGGCAATTTTGAATGCATTTTTCATATGCTAAGCAAAAGTTTTATTGCAAAAGTAATCAAATACATGGAATGCAATGATTGTCATTACTATCAAAGATTAGCGAAGGCAGAAATTATCTTACATAGTAAGCCTCAATCAGTCAATAAATAAATAAATAAATATAAATAAATAAATATATATATATATGCTAAAAAAATCAATCGATAAATATATTAGAGAATAAGACTCAGTTTCTGTCTTTCTTCGGATGTCACTCCATCTAAGAGATCAAGAAAATGAAAATGGCAAGTAGAATCATTTATTTATAGCACCTTGAAGAAACTTAATTTCATACAAATGCGTTACTTATTCAAATGAAAGTTCAGTGAATAATAATAATGCTATTAATAACTGCATAATTGTTATTCATACTGTAATTACTGTCATGATTAATGAAGAAATTTTTGGGCAGAAATAATTATCATGCATATGATTGCTTTTGTTAAACCATTATAATCAGTAATATTAATAATTTTCTTCTTCTTTTTTCTTTTTCTTCTCTTTATTATTATTATATTATTATTATTATTATTATTATTATTCAATTATTATTATTGACGTTAATATTAGTAACTCAAACTTAGGACACCAAAAAAATTAAATATATAAAAAATTTAGTACAGCAAAGATGAATAATAATCGTATCCTCGTTTACGTTTATTTTTAAATTTGTTAAAAAAAATTTTGTACAATTTTTTACTGTGATTTAAAAAAGACCAAATATGGTATTTTCATTGCTTTCAGCTTGCTAAATGTGGCAGTAAATGAAATTTTTTCTGCTTACTTATAAACGCATTTTAAAATATTATACACAAAATATATGCATATTTATACAGTGTACAGTTTTAATGAAATTATTAGAACATATTCTGCAAAACTAAGTGCAATAATGCTGCAAAAATTTTAGTTCGAAAAAAACTTACACAAATATCTTTAATTTATTTGGTAAAAAAATTGTGTTCGATTATTAACCATATTTTTATTTCGATAAAATTTTGAATTTCAAAAATTGGTTTTGTTTTCTTAAGTGAGTTCGATAAACAAAACGAATAGCTCTTAGCAAGTGGACACTTTTGTTTAGTGAAAATGATATACAAATATAGAAGAAATAATTTACATAACAGATTTGTGCATTATTTGAAGTAATTTAATGTTCATTTCATCAAATACAAGTAAATAAATAGATAGATTTAAAGTAGATAATTTATTATTATAATACTGAAAAGCATCAATTTATTTTATGTAATAATTTAAAAGCTTTTAGCTTCGAAAATGATAATATTCCTATTTGAAATATTTCGGATTAAAGCATCTCGAAGAAATATTGTTAGAAACTTAGCGTTACACATTTTCACATTTGAACGAAACTTATGCTTTATTTTATTTTACTTTACTTTACTTTACTTTAATCGAGATTTCCACACGCTGAATTTGCATTTATTTGGCTACTTTTTATAAAGACTTTTGCTTATGCACTATCAGTACCTTTACTTTGAACTAAATTTATTTCTTCTTAAGACAAAAATGCTTTATTTGTGGAGGAAGAAGAAAGTCTGCTTATAAATTGTTAACAACCATAGATTATTTACTGTTCAAAAATTTTATTAACTAGTGCAGGAGAAAGAAGTTTTCTAACATCTATATACTGGAACAAATCAAGAAATACATATAATAATAATTATAATTATAATTATAAAATATGCTTAAAATATATTATAAATAATAAAATATTGACAATATTTTTACTAATTTCGATATTGCTTGTTTAAAATATTAATATACATGTTGTTTTATGTAACATATTATATTTATTCGTGCACTAAATTACATATTTTTGCAGCTTTTTTTAAAACAGCATCAGCTAATTAATAATCGTAAATTGCCAGATTTTGCACAACTAATGTTTTGTGAAAATGAATACAAGTATAAATTCATAATTGAAATATAATTATCAAATAAATAATTGCAAATTTCGTTAATAATAACGCTCTAGCTAGTAACAAACTGCAAAAATGACTGATAGCTAAAACGATAAACTTTGTTACACTGTGATCACTTTGATTAATTTTTATCTAATAGAAAGCAAGACAAGCTGATTGAATGATTTGTATCTATTTAATAGCTTGTTGTTAACGTAAATAACACGAGAATATTAACTTTAATTTTATAAAATGAACAAAACTTCTCAATCATTTCCAAGAATGACTCGTTGCTATCGAAATGTTAAATTGAAATTTCAGAAAACTCCATCACATGCAATTAATATAAATGGATGTGATTAATTTTGCAATTGTTATTGAAGAAATGTGAACTGTACCGCTTAACTGATAATTCAACTTGTGATAGTTTACATTTGTTAATTAAGTTAGTTATTAGGGAATTAAGTAAATAGATAAGCAAGTACGCGAATGAGTTAGTGAATCAATAAATAAGTAAGTAAGACTAATGTCTGAAAGTATAAAATATGCAGATGAATGCTAATATAGCTTGATGGCTTCCTTACCCCTTCTTCTGGGGATTGAAGCACAACTTTATAAGCACAACATATTCTAAATCTAGTTCTTAAAATTTTCTAATCAAGTTAACAACATTGTTATCAATATCGTCATCATCATATTTGCAATGACACTATCATCAGCAATATCGACATTGCTATCTATATTTTCCATTTAAATCTCACTTCTTTTTTCCAATGCCATTTTGGCTAATTTTAAATACTCAAACTGCTTGCTAAAGTAACACGCATAGAGATTTTCCGCTGCCTGTGATAATATCAGCTATCAAACTTTATCTATATTAATCAATGAGATCATTTGAAATAAGCATAAATTAAAAAAAAATTAATTGTTGTAAGAATTATAAAGAGCGAGCATATAAACTAATTAAAAATATCTTCATTATCACTTGTAATATTTACAAAATTGAGCAATATTTTTTATAATAATAATAAAAGTTATGAAGCTAAGATCTAAGACTACTTAAAATAATCGTAAAATTGAATATTATCATTGAATACTGAAAGATATGAAATGAAAAAAGTTTCATGTATATAATTTTTTATTTATATGCTTTATCTACTTTTTTGGCTAATAAATTATGACTTATGTGTTGCAAAATATAAAAAACTGTCAAAATTTTACAGACTCTGAAAATTGGTATTGTTTGCATTTAAAAAAGTGTATAATTTAATTAGAAAATTAAATTAAGTAGCAAGTTATTTATGAAATAAAATTAGCTGGATTTAATTACTTATTTACTCGAATTATCAACTTCAACTTTGCAATCAGCTATCAATTTTAATTATATGTACCAATTACTTTTTGTCTAACTTTAATAAATGTATAAAGTCAACAAGCATATGGTGAAAATTTAATCGCAATACAATACGATACCAAATTTTAATTTTCTCACACTTGTCTATAAAATTTATCAAAATGTAATAATTATTACTACTATTTGTTTGAGATTACTTATTTCTAAAAATGTAAGCAAAGAAAAACAGGAAAAGAAGTATGCAAAATATTACCGTATTGAAAAAATTTATTCAAAATTGAGGCACATTTTGAGAAAAAAATTTCCAGCTGATAAGACATGAACAAAATTTGAAAAGTATTAAAAAGTATTTCAAACATGAATGATTGCAAATTTCTGCGGATTTTCTAAATATCTGCTTTTGACAATATACACATTACAATGAAAGCATTCATGGGTCTAAAAAAACACGCAAACTTTAAACTTTAGCAAAATTGTATGAAAATGTGTCTGACAGCTTTATCTATTTTTTTGTAATTGCAGTAATGTATTATAATTTGGATAAACTTTAGTTATGTATCAGATTTTTTAATATTTTGCAAGAAATTGAATATGATTACGTTTAAAATTATCTCTGTTTTCGATATTTATAATTATTAGCTGTGATAGTGAAAATTTTTTAAAAATATTGCTTTTATTTTAAGTTTGGTTCATTCATAATAGCTTTATTATGTTTGAGAGAGTTTAAATGAAATAAATATTAAGTAATTAACGAAGAATCATAAAATTTAAATAAATTTCTAAACTTTTTTTTTTTGATTTTCATTTTTAACAATTTTTCATTGATTGACGTTTAAAATCAATTTTAAATCAGTTAATATGAACTTGTTTAGAGCTGAGATTTCTTATTTCAATATCAAAATAATTTTAATAAGATGGAAGTAATGATGAAGCCGTGGAGTTGTATGTCTTCAAATGTATTAATTATTTATATATATCTAGAATTGAATTGAAGATATGTTGTTTGATACTCAATGTCGAATTTTTTTTTCGTAAAAAAAATGCCACAATCTAAAATTAAGTAACGAAAAAAAACCAGAAAACGTGAACAAACCGAAACGTTTACGTCGTGATCCATTCGTCTTCCATTGTACAGTGGATGCTGGACCTGGTGAGCAAGATACTGTATGCGTAGATGAAGTTTGGCTTTGATATGGTTGTTGAAAACGGAAATATTTACCCATTTCCATATGACTTGAACTTGGACGGATAAAAAGTGGTTCAAGTCGCTTGTCTCGTTTAGTCCACATAATTTTTTCTAGCAAAATTGAATTGAAAAATGCGGCAAATCCAGCAAAGCAGAACGCCAGTTTGGCTTCAACTGTTTGATTGTTTTAAATTTACAGAAGAATTAAAATATATAAATAATTATAGCAATAAATATAAACAGTTCAATATGTTCAGCATACAATATAATCCATGCATGATGAAGAAGTTAATTATGTCTGCAAAATTAAGTAACAATATATTTGCTTGCTTATTTTCATGCAAATTATTACTATTTCATGATTATTCAATACAAAAGCAGAAATAAATCAATGAATAGAATATAATCATTGTTAAAATTGAATATTTATAATTCAAATATTACTTGACAATAAAT